GGAGCTGAGAGGGCTCTTTTGAGAACTGCCCTTGAGAGAACAGCTCTGACAGAACTGTGGCTTGCCCAAGGTCATCCAGCCAGGTGCAAGTGGAGGAGGAGTGGGGAATCAAACCCGGTTCTCCCAGATTAGAGTCTGCACACTTAACCACTACACCAAACTGTCATAAACCGCTTTAAAAGGGATTAGACAGAATCACGGAGAAGTCTATCAATGGCTGCTAGCCATGGTGGCTGAGGGAAACCCACATTCAACAGTACTAAGCCTCTGAATCACAGTGCCAGTGGGCAACATCAGGGGAAGGCCTCGGCCTCTACACCCTATTTGTTGGCCCTCCAGAGGAACTGGTTGTCCCCTGTGTGAGTCAGGATGCCAGACTAGATGGACTGCTGGTCTCATCCAGCATAGGGACAAATTCAATATTTTCCTCCCGTGCCTTTTTCATAACCCCCTTATTACTACCTGCCCTGACATGGATGGCCCAGGCTGATCTGGAAGCGAAGCAGGGTCGGCCCTGGTTAGTCCTTGGATGGGAGACCACCAAGGAAGTCTGGGGTTGTTGTGCAAAGGCAGGCAATGGCGAACTACCACTGAATGTCTCTGGCCTTGGAAACCCAACGGGGTCGCCATAAGTTGGACCGCCGGTCTGATCCAGCAGGGCTCGTCTTATAATCATAATAGATTCAGATGCAACAGAATGGAAATTAGGTTATTATGGACTATCAGAACAGTATCTATTGTCGATGCATCAGGATCGAGCGAGGTCTGTGGTAAAACAAAGGATTCTAGATGTTGAAAGACAACACGCTCTGAATAGATTGAAAACTGAAATAATTGATTTGAACACCCTAAATAGGCCCTTATTGATGCCTTATGTTAACAGTTTAGAGAATCCCAATTAGAGAAGGGCTTTCACTCTGCTAATCCAAGTTTTAGGAGAAAAGGCTGAAAGAGTTGGGTATGTTTAGCCTGGGAAAGAGAAGGCTTAGAGGGGACGTGATTGTATTTATTTATTTATTTATTTATTTATTATTCAAATTTATACCCCGCCCTCCCCCGTGGGGCTCAAGGCGGCTTACAAGGCAAGATAATACTTGCAACATAAAACAACAATACAAATCTGAAGGGCTGTCATGTAGGAGATGGAGCAGATCTATTCTCTCTTGCTCCGGATTGCAAGACTATATCTAATGGGTGGAAATTACAAGGGAGTCGTTACCAGCTAAATATCAGGAGAAACTTCCTAACTGTGAGAGTGGTTGAGCAGTGGGACAGACTGCCTTGGAAGGTGGTGGATGCTCCTTCGCTGGACGTTTTCAAGCGGAGGCTGAATGCTGTAGGGCTCTCTTTCGGCTGTGCTCCTGCAGAGTGCAGGGGGTTGGACTAGATGACCTGCAAGGTCCCTTCCAACTCTAACGTTCTATGATTCTATGATTCTGTGATTCTAAGAAATGATGTGCTGCCGACTGCAGTACTGGAAGGCAAGTATAAGAAGACACCTTTGGAAGAATGCCTACGCCCATGTGGGGATGGGAGTCTGGGGACATTAAGCCATGTAATTTTTGACTATAAAATCTATAAACAGATTTGGGGGGCATTGGTAGTACCAGTCCTTTCTAGTTTCCCAGGGAAACATCAAAAAAGTCTCCTCAAGGAAATGCTCGCAGATAGAAACAGAGATGTCACCTTCAAAATTGCTAAGTATGGTTGGCTGGCAATTAAGCGGAGGAAAATAAGGATAAGTCATGCTAGTTGATACTTTAGAGATAGTTTTATAAGTTAAGTTATATCACTTAATATTTTAGGTTATTAGCGGTTTATTTATGTATTTTACAAATATTATATTCCTGTATAGGGAACAGTCCAAGGGACTCTTGAGAGTCCCTTGGACTGCAAGAAGATCAAATCAGTCAATCCTAAAAGAAATCAACCCTGACTGTTCCCTGGAAGGCCAGATAATTAAAATGAAGCTCAAATACTTTGGCCACCAAATGAGGAGCACTCACTGGAGAAGACCCTGATGCTGGGAAAGATTGAAGGTCAAAGAAGACGGGGACGGCAAAGGATGAGATGGTTGGACAGTGTCATCGATGCAACGGACATGAAACTGAGCAAACTTCAGGGGACAGCGGAAGACAGGAGGGCCTGGCGGGATCTAGTCCATGGGGTCGCGAAGAGTCGGACTCGACTGTGTGACTGAACAACAAAAATAGGGAACAGGAATGTTCTAAGTTTGGGGCTTTACTTCTTTCACTGTGTGCTGGCCAATGACTGTAATAAATTTACTTACTTACTTACTAGATTCAGATGCAACAGAATGGAATGCATATTTAGAAGCTGCAAGGACGCCGAGAGCGAAGTTTAATATGAATCGCAGTCCTTCTCAGCTAGCTCTCCATCAGTGAGGCCAGGAAGGCTTCCAGTGTTCTTTCATGTTTCCAGTGTTCCAAAGACCAGATAAACGAGTGTAATTGCTGACACCAATGAGAGATGCGCTCAGTCAGATGATGCTTCCATGACGTTAACTGCTTGGTACCAATCAAAGGTTTCTGAATGTGTAAATTATATGTGATGTCACTAGGGGTATCAGACCCTCCGCCCTTCCTGGTTAAGGCAGGATACAGCTTGGTGTTATCGGGTGCTAGCGGACCCCATCCTGTATTCCTGTTTCTTGCAATAAACAGATATTAATCTAACTCGCTGGACTCTACCTGCGTGGTTTTAATTCGGCCACGGGATCACACAGGGCGCAGATTTGTGCATCAGAAGGACGCACACTCCTTTGGCTCAGCCTTGTCTCCTCTGACCAGCAGCGGCTCACCGGGGTCTCCTACCTGATCCTTTTCAACTGGAGGTGCCAGGGACTGAACCTGCAGACTTCAGCGCATGAAGCACATACTCTGCCACAGGGCTTTTTTGGTAGAAAAAGCCCAGCAGGAACTCATTAGCATATTAGGCCACACCCAGCAGCAGAAACCCATTAGCATATTAGGCCACACCCATGACAGCACAGCTCATTAGCATACTAGGCCGCACCCCCAGGTTACCAGAAGTGTGGTCATCCAGCCACACCCACCTTTTGCTTCTTATTCTGTTTACCTTGTTTGTTGTCAAAACGCAGGGCTCTTTTTCTAGCAGGAACTCCTTTGCATGTTAGGCCACACACCCCTAATGTAGCCAATCCTAATGAGTTTCTGCTCTTGGGTGTGGCCTATTATGCTAATGAGTTCCTGCTGGGTGTGGCCAACTCAGAAGCCAGCCGGAACTCCGTTCCTGCCCCAAAATAGCCCTGCTCTGCCACTGAGCCACAGCCTGAACTACTGCCGTCTGACTTTTTAAATCTGATGCATATTTATCGTTGTTTACTCTGGTTTCAAACTCTTTTCTTTTTGGTATTTTTGTATTTTTATGTCCGTGTGTGTGAGTGTTTGTGCTCACCTGGAAGTCATGGTGACCTCTGTTGACTGACCCCTACTGGAGGCCTGGAGGATATTCAAGAGAGGTGGCTGAGTGAAGCCTGCCCCCGCCTCCTGACTGCTGGTATTCCACGGAGGTCTCCCATCCAAGGACTTGCCAGAGTTGACCCTGCTTAGCGTCTGAGATCTGACAAGATCGGGCTTGCCTGGGCTATATCCAGGTCACAGAAAGACTTTTCTTTCTTTTTTTTTTAAGCAGAAAGGCAGACTCTAAATGCTCCAGAATAAAGAAATCAGTCTTGAATTCGGTCTGGAAGCTAACCAGTGACCAATGGACGGCCCAAGCTAGCCCAATCTCATCAGATCTCAAAAACTAAGCAGGTTAGTACCCTGGTTAGTACTTGGATGGGGGACCAAGGAGAAAGCCTAGAGCTGCTACAGAGGGGCAGGCAATGGTAAAGCCACCCCTGAATGTCTCTTACCTTGGAAGAACCTATGGGGTCACTGTAAGTCTCGGCAGTGACCTGATGGCAATTTTCACCATCACCAGCCAGCAAAGTGGCTTGTGGAACATGTGTGAGCTGCGCCGTGCATATTCTTCTGTCCATGTGAAATCCAAGGGCCGGCATGCATCTTTTCATCCCGAGAATCCCTGCTTTCAAAGGTGCCTGTGACCACCGTGTCAACACAGAACCGGTTGACTAAGCAGCGCTTACTTGGGAGTTCAGATTTGGCTCGATCGAGTGGGATAATTTGGGACTGGTCCCCCTTCTGCATCCTGAGCGAGTCTCTTTTCGATGCCGTTTCCCCAGGGTCGAGGAAACAAAGAGGATGGAGGCGCGGGCAGGGGGGTCTTCGTCTGAGTTTCTCCCTGTTCCTTCCTTCCTTTGCCTTTCTTCAAACCTTTTATTTCTTCTTTGGAAGACTCCCTGAGCTGAGACAGAGCAGCCCACGTACATTATTCATACCGACGCGAGCCCAGGAGATATGGTTACATTCTGACTGCGGAGTGACTATCCCTCCTTGACTTCTTAGCTCCCCGGAGCCCTGCAGAAAGCACATCAAAGAACACGGCTGAAAAGGCTTCTGACTGGGAGATCGTTACAGAACGCAGAAGAAAAGGGAATGCCGCTTCACCGGGAAATGGCGAGGGGAGAAATGCCCGCAAGATGAATCCAAGAAGCGACCTCCACTCCAGCCAGAGTTAACCTCCTTGGGGAGACCAACGCAGGATAACTATGCATCATCTCGAGCAGAAGATAGAAATAATCGCTCTCTAGTGACTTATTGAAACCGCCAAAAGGTAAATAAAAGAGAGACTTAATAGCATTGCGTATTCATGCCACTAAGAGGACCTGTCGAGTTAGGGGGGGGGAACATGTTGCCCCTGCAGCTGTACAGATGCTGATGTCAGCCGGCGAACTTGCAGCAGTCACATGTGGTTTTGAGGCGGAGACCGGTCCAATGTTGGTTCACGCCAGAAGGAATTCCCCTATGGTGGCTCTCGTTAATCTTTGCTGAAGGGCAAACCCGGTGGCAAAATCACAGAGACAGCCCGGAGAATGAGCCTCCCTTTCTCCCAGCATGGCAGGCAAAAAAGCTGACACGAAGAAAGGGAAAGATGCGGGGAGAGGGAAGAAGAGCAAAAAGGAACCCAGCGACTCCGAGGAGGCATCGGAAGCCGAGGTGGGCAAGACCACCGCGGAGGAGAGTGAAAGGGACAGCGAGATAGTGGAGGAGGAGAGCGAAGATGACCCTAAGAAGAAGAAAGGGAAAGACAAGAAGGGCGGGAAGAAGCAGCTCAAGGGCGCCTCGAAGCTGGTGATGGGCCTGGCCACTGACGATGCCAAGAAGAAGAAAGGGGCCAAGAAGGAGCATGCCAAAGCCCAACTGAAAGGCGCCACCAAGGCGATGGCCATAGCCAAGAAGGAGCCGCCGCCGCCCAAAAAGAAAAGGAGCCTGAAGAGCACGTCCAAGCTCTTCATGGGCTTGAAAAGCCTGCAGCTCAAGCGGCCGAAGAAGAGCCAGTTCAAAAACACCTCGCGCTTCTTCTGGGGCCTGAAGAAATCCAGCACGAAGCAGAAGCAGAAGCAGAAGAAGAACAAGGCGGTCCTCAAGTCCACCTCCAAACTCATGATGCGCTTCAAAGGGATGGGGAAGGGCAAGAAGAAGAAAGAAGAGCCCAGCGCTGAAGGTACTAAGAAGCCGGCCTTCATGCTGATAAGGCTGGGTGGGAAACCCAAGGATAAGGCCAAAGGGGGCGGGCTCTTCGGCAACCTGTTACAGAGGGCGAAGCCAAATGAGAAGTTCAAGACCCGGGCCCAGATTGTCAGCAAAGTCGCTGCTGCCACCAGCTGGCTGACCAGGAAATTCCTGGCCAAGCGTGGCAGGTACATGTACGATGAACGAGTCGCAAACGAGGCCTGGCTTTCGAGGATCGGGGCCAAGAAGCTCCCTTTCCCCTCAGAGGCTGAGGTCTTGAGGCACCGGGCTAATATGAGGAGGCTGCCTGAAGCAAAAGCGCTCTATGGCCAAACCGAGGAAGAATTTGGCTACTGGGACAACTTAGACGGCCCCTTGCCACAACTGCACTACGATAACTATCGAGAGGATGGCTACATGGAACCGCAGTCCACTTCTCAATACGACTACTCTAACTATGATACTGAGTGTTATGACGGGTACCCAGATGAGGAATATGGGCCGTATGAAGAACCGGTAGAGGACTATAACCATCTGCCGCAAGACCAGTATGGTTATCCCACAGAGGATGACCAAGAATACGAGCCTACCACTAGTTATTCACCCTATGAGCCTTATGATAACTATGCCGATTATGAAGAGCCAATAGGGCTGAATGACCAATATGCCTCCCCTGAAGACCCCTATTACTCAGGGGCAGAAGAAACAGAATACCCCGATGACTATCCTCTTAATGAAATGGGCTATGGTGAGAATGAATGGCCTCCACAGTCTTCGTACAATCCTTATGCCTACCCATTGGACGATATTGTGGAGGAGGCTGAGGAGGAGCGAAGAGGCTACCTCTCTGATTTATCTAACTTTTCATTTTTTAAACAGCAAGGGACGGGAGATAATTTTTCTCCTAAGCTGTCTTTGAACCGGAAGTTCCGGCTCTTCCCGCGCCCCCAGGTGAAGCTCTTTGGTATTGACAAACTGGATGTCCCCCTTCCTCCCTCGCCACAGTTTTCCGTCGGCAGTTTGGATCAAGACGAGGAGAACTATGAGGAATCTGAACCCCTGACCTCTCCTTTCGCCCAGTTCGGTGATCAGAACGTGGTACCTTCCAAGTTGCCAAAGATCTCAAAGCTTTTGGAGGGCTGTTTCGGTGGTGGCCTTCCAAGGTCTGTTACCCCCAAACCAACTGCAAGGAATTTGGGCCCAAGTGAACAGAAATGCACCTGTAAAGCAAGCTCATTTCCAAACGTCTCCCCAAGAGAATGTGGAAGCCCTTTGGGGCAATTCCTACAGAAATCCCTCACACAACCAAAACCCATACTAAAGCACCGGGGGACCAGGGAGCAGAACAGATCCCCAACGCCATCGCCAATGAAGAAAGTTCTTTCAATGTTTAGTGGCAGCCGATCCACGGGGCAGTCTCTTCAGGTGGGAACAAGGCAATTCGAAATACCAAATTCAACCTCATCCCCTAAACCTGCAAGTCATTTTGGGGGTCAGCAGAGGCACGGTGCCCCTCACCCTTCTTCTCACCGCACCGCAAGGCTGCGCAGTGCACTTCAGGAAGAACTGCACAACACACTTCCATACGCGGGGTCATCTTCCTACAAAAAGCCGCACACAGGAGTCAGTCTACCGCCAAGGACTTTAAGTCAGGAAGCCATTAACAACAACAATTCCCAAAGGCCTGCTTCCTCTCTGTTTTCTCAGAGAAATCTCTCCTCCTTTACCTCAAAACAAAGTATAAGGTCGTTTGGTTCGAACAGGCCACAAGTGAATTTCCACATACCTGAGACAAGTAATTCCTTCCAGCAATGGTCTGGCAACCGAATGTCTTCCCAGGGGCCTTCTTCATGGTCCACAGTGAGGTCAGAAGGCCCTTCTGTGAGGAGAGTGGGCTCAACACCAGCCACAGATAAGGCCTCCTTTACTGCCCCATCACGGGGACAAAGGCCATCCACCCTATTAGAAGAGTCCACGTCTTCCCCTTGTACCACAGCACGTAATCCTTTTATACGTCGACGCACCCCATCATCCACTAGCTTAGGACCTGCTGGCAGCCTAAGAAATGAGGACCCTTTGAGGCAATCGTCTTCTCAGATCTCCCTCAAATCCAATGCGTCTAAATTTCGGGATTCTCTTCGCAGTGTGAGCTCCGGTAGGTATGCCCCAACAGGACTTCATGGTCCCACCACTGGGGGTTTCCAAGGTCCTCCATCACCCCAAACACCCCTCAGGCATTTTGGATTGCCTCCTACACCAAATTCCCCGCGGCCATTGGGGAGAACAAACCCTTCACCCATTGACGTTCAAGGGAGGCTTCCCCAAGCTTGGAACAGGCAGCCTGAGCCCCCAACCGAAGCAGTGAAACCTTTAATGAGGAATCAGTTCATGAAGCAATACGGCCACCTGTCTCCCACTCTGTCTACGAGGAGCACGAGGACCTCCTCTCCACACATGCAGACTCGGCAAGGAACCCGTCGGGTCACCATCGTAGACTCTCCAGTTGACTCACCTGCTCGGGCCCAGTCTCTTGCCGATGTCAGTGGGCAGGCAGCGGAGCAGTGGCTGCCACAGCAGAGGTGGGGTCACGCTTCTGGGAATGGAATGTCAGCCCCCCAGACTCGTCCCCCCAAGATGGGAAGTAGGGGAAGTCTGAGGAGCTTATCAAGTCTGCCTCCACCTCCGACTCCTGCTTCCAGCTCGCCAAAGGACTTCATCAAGCGCATTGGTCAGCCTCTAGCTGGGATGGCAGAGATTGCTTCTTCCATCAGACGTTCCCCTGCAGGAAGTACGGGCGACACGGGGAAAGGGAGCACATATTCAGCAAAGTTCAGTCACGATCCAGGGTCACCACCAGCTTGCTCCATGCACCCACATTCTCACAACCCTCCTTCTCCTGGATCATCACCGAAGCAAGCGGCAGAGGTCCGCCGTTCTCAGCCACCCAGTCTGAAACAGGAAGCCTTGGGGGGCAATTTGAGCTACCCCGTTGCTGGGAGCAACCCCGGCACCCTGAGGGGGAGGCCCAATTCCAGCCCCGTGACCCAAAGATCGCCTCTGTTCCAAGCCAAAGGAAGGGGACGCCTGGCTTTTCAAGACCAGTACAACACACCCAGAAGGCCAGGGCCTCCTCATTCGCTTGCTGGGCTGCTCGGAAACGAAACCGATGATGGTACGGGGAGATACGCGGTCGTAATGCCACAGATGCAGCGGATAGGCTCTTCTTTAAGGAGGAACACTCATATGCAGAAACAACCTTGGTCCGACTATCATACTGCACCCGTCCACGAGATGCCAAATAAGCGGGCCTCGGAGAAACTGTACCGCCAGCCTTCTGTGGAGGAATTTAGCCAGCAGGCACCCAAACTGGGAAGCGGTGTGGCATGGTACCTGACACGCGGGACAAAGTTGGCGGACACTGGGCCAAACACAGGTTGGCAGTGTAAGGTAATTTAAGAAGTCCTGATTCATTTTGTGGTGGGGGATGGGGTTTACGGTATGGGAACCAATTAGAAAGAGGAGGAATCGTTGGGTTTCACTATGAGGAAGGTTCCATTGAAGCGAGTTCCTCAAGTCCCAATTCTCTTGTACTTTAGGATCAAACTCAGCCTCTAAGAACATAAGAGAACCCATGTTGGATCAAGCCAATGGCCCTTCCAGTCCAACACTCTGGGTCACCCAGTGGCCAAAAACCACTGGACCTTGCTATACATAGAGGCATCTGACAGGTCACAGAGGGTCAATCACAGTGTTGACGAGCACAATGAGAGTGAGACCCCGAACATATGCAATACGGCCAGCTATCACCTAGCTATGGGCCACACTAGGCTTTTTTTAAGCACATGCACAGAAGCATACTGTGCAGAGCACTGCAATACCAATCAATTGTGTTACTGATCTCTGTGACTGTCGGATTGCTCTGTCGTAATGCCAGATGCAGACAGTGACATTCCAGAACCCACCAGCTGGTTCCGGTAAGTGCTAGAACAGATTCATTCAGCTGCGTTCCTTGGCTATGTGAATTTGGGGTCATGGCATCCCACATCCACTGACTCTGTGCTCTCGCGGGATGCTTAGGGCAAAATCTTTGTAGGTTCATTTTCTTACAGGGGAGAGGTCCACCCCCTGACCAATGTTCCTTCTAAACTGTGGAGTCTCATGAGCAAAAATTCTACTTTGTGAGCTACTGGCATTAAAGCTGTGAGTGAGCTATTTGGCTACTGCCAGTGTTCCCTTTAAGCTGAGTTAGTGTGAGCTTGCTCACAGTTTTTTAGCCTCCGGCTCACACATTTTCGTCTTAGCTCAGGAAGGATGGCTCCAGAGCAAACTAATTTATGCAGTAGCCAATTCGCTCGCTCACAACTTTAATGCTAGTAGCTCTCAAAGTAGAAATTCTGCTCACAAGACCCTACCACTTAGTGGGAACATTGGCTACTGCATAAATTAGTTTGCTCTGGTGCCATCCTTCCCGAGCGAAGGCAAAAATGTGTGAGCCGGGGGCTAAAAAGTTGTGAGCTAGCTCACACTGACTCGGCTTAGAGGGAACAATGCCCCTGACTCCCTGGAATCCTAGCGGCCAATGTTTTCTCCACTCCCCCGATCAGGACCACCAAGAAGGGGGGCATGAAGGGTATAGTGTCCCAGAGCACATGTTTGCCTGGCGAGCCAGGAAAATTGTTACTAAGGTGGGGGATAGTATCAGCAGATAAGTTCCAATTAAGCTTCTTGCATGTTTTCTTTCAAGTTGACCCCTATGTGGTGGGAGTGGCAGAAAGAATATTTGCATGGGAATTGACTCATGGCTGTCTTGACCCTCAGTAAGGCAGACTGGAGACGGACTGTCCCCCCCCCCCTCCAGTGGCTGCCCATGTGTACACCCATTGCAATTTCATACCTCAAGCACAGATCTTTGTATTATTCCCCAAATCTGTTTGACTGGCAGTAGCAGCGAGGAAATATGGGTTGGATCCAGACTAAACTGGCAATTTTCCATTGTTTCCCCCTTTGCACTAGAGACACCCCCATGTCATTCCCCAGGATTCCTTGTTCCCTTGCCACCGGGAGTAGAATTACAAAGAAATCAACAGGTAGCGGTGGGAAGAGAGAAGCAGGAAATCCTGTTCCACTTTTGGGAAATTCAGCACAAATCCAGCTCAAACTGTGGACATCATAGAAGATGAGTTTCAGCTCTCTTTTAAAAGCAGTGGTCTGTCTCTCGCTTAAATGAGTTATAATTTCTTTAAGATATTGAGGGAAATAAACATGGTCTCCAACTAGTCCTACCCCACAATTGCACCTCGGAATCAGGGCTGGCACTATCTCTGTTTGCCCCATTCCCGCACAGTTAACAACATACGGCTGCACGGAAATTCGGCGGCCAAACTTTCGGGGATGAACGTCATGGAAATGCTCGGCCTGTTTTCCACGTCTCAGGCTTCATACAATGGGCAGCGGCAAGTCCAATTTTACAAGGTGGCAACTGCTACCCTATGATTAAAACCGAGTCATTGTTCCTTCCGAGAGGCCGTCGGCCGGCCGCCAGCCCAACAAAAGAGCGGCATGTAAATTCGGGGACTTGATCTCCGACACAGAGCTGGGCTGGAACAGAAGGAAAGTTTTAATTAGAGTGCAGCTCTCTTCCCGCAGCCTGAACCGTACAAAGGCCAGCTCGAGGGATTACAAAAAGCTGACCTCTCGCAAGGCAGAGCGGCAAAAAGCTGACCTCTCGCAAGGCGGAGCGGCTTACTGATCTGCTGCCGAATTTTCGTCTCGAACCCACGAGGGGCTGCTTGTGAAAACTTGATGTTTCCCAGGCCTTGAGTCACCAGAATGTTTCTTCTTTGGGTGAGCTGAAGCCTTGCTCCCAGAGTCAGCTCTCCAACTGCACTGCACAAGCAACTGTTTGGGGTGGCCACTGGGAACAGGGCAGGGTCACACTGCAGGGAATGGCTTGCTCCAGGCTGTTGCAAGTGCGAGAGGTGATAGGTTCGGCTTCCTGGTTCACCGCTGTATCCTGAATCAGCCTGCTTTGGCCTTGGGATAGGCTTGCCAAGTCCCCCCGGGGGGCAGGGAAACCCCCGCCCCAGAGGCCTGTTCCCCACCGCCGGTGGATTGGGCCCCGGGGGGAACCCCACCCCTACGTGCACGTCACCTGGAAGTGACGTGACGACGTCGGGCATGCTGGGGGCGGGGCCACGGTCATCCGAGGTAAAACTCGCCCCCAGCGTGCCCATTGTCGTCACGTCACTTCCGGGTGACGTGCGTGCGGCGAGGGCGCGCACTCCTGGAACAAGCCGGGAGTCCCCCGCTCCGGATACAGGTAACACTTGGCAACCCTATTTTGGGAGGATGGAACCAGTCTGTCCTCAGGCCGGCAAAACCTAAGTGGCCTGGCTTCTGGTTCTTGCTTCTGGTTCACAGAATCATAGAATCGTAGAGTTGGAAGGGAAGCTACCTACAGACCCTCTAGTCCAACCCCCTGCCCAATGCAGGACCCGCCTAAAGCATCCCTGACAAATATTTATCCAGCCTCTTCTTGAAAGCTGCCAATGAAGGGGAGTTCCTTCCTGGCTTCTCGGCTTCCTGAGGCTGACCACTGTCGGAAACAGGAGTCTGGAATAGATGGACCATTGGTAGGGTTGCCAGCTTCCAGGTGGGGCCTGGAGATCTCCCTGGTGTGGAGAGCCAGTTTGGTGTCGTGGTTAAGTGTGCGGACTCTAATCTGGGAGAACTGGATTTGATTCCCCACTCCTCCACTTGCACCTGCTGGATGACCTTGGGCAAGCCGTAGTTCTGATAAGAGCGGGAACTAAATAGTAATAAATAACATTGTAACATCATTAGCAAGTGGTGAGTTCTTTTGGTGTGCTAAAATTAGTTTTGAGTGCCTTTCTATAAGCTGCTCTGAGACACCTTCAGGTAGTGAAGGGCGGGGTATAAATCCAATCTCCTCCTCCTCCTCCTCTTCTTCTTCTCTTCCTCCTCCTCCCAGAATTACAGAGAGCCAGTGTGTTGTAGTGGCTTAGAGTGTCGGACTAGTGTCTGGGGGACCTGGGTTCAAATTCCCACTTGTGCCTGTTTGGGATGGCCACTGGGAACAGGGCAGTGTCACACTGCAGGGAATGGTTTGCTCCGGGCTGGGTGGGTATAATAAATCTGTTATACCTTCTTCTTCTTCTTCTTCTTCTTCTTCTTCTCCTCCTCCTCCTCCTCCTCCATCTATATAGCACTAAAAGAAAAAAAAAGGCGGGGAAACAGTGATTGTCTGGGTGACCTTGAGCCAGTCATACTTTCTCAGCCTGACCTACCTCACAGGATTGTTGTGAGGATAAAATGGAAGAGAGGAGAACACCGTAAGCCACTTTGGCTCTTTGTGTGGGGAGAAAGGTGGGGTATGAAGGAATGAATGAAATAACTGATCTCCAGAATGTTAGGTGGCCTCAAACAGAGGGTGCCAATCTCCAGGTAGTGGCTGGAGATCTTATGGGAATTACAACTGATCTCCAGGTGACGGAGATTAGCTCACCTGGAGAAAATGGCAGATTCGGAGGTGGACTGTATGGCATTATACCCCTACCGAGGTCCCTCCCCTCTCCAAACTCCCATCTTTGAGCTGATGGGGGTGTAATATACCTGAACAGTTTCCCAGGCTGATTAAATTATTGCCTACTGTTCCACAAAAACATGTTCCCACACTGTGAGGTAGGGTGGCTCAACTGGTTGTGATGCTGAGCTGCAGACCGGATGGTCTGTAGTTCGACAGTTTGAGACCCGAGTGCTGCATGACAGAGTGAGCTCCCATCTCTGGCCCCGTCTCTGGCCAACCTAGCAGTTCGAAAGCAAGAAATTGCAAGTAGATAAATAGGTACCCCTTCGGTGGGAAGGTAACAGCGTTCCGTGCACCTCGGCGTTTAGTCATGCCGGCCACATGACCACGGAAACGTCTTCGGACAGCGCTGGCTCTTCGGCTTTGAAACGGAGATGAGCACCGCCCCCTAAGAACATAAGAGAAGCCAATGTTGGATCAGGCCAATGGCCCATCCAGTCCAACACTCTCTGTCCCACAGTGGCCAAAAATTCCAGGTGCCCTCAGGAGGTCCATCACGCAGGGCCAGAGTTGGATTCGACTGGCTTTTAAGCAAGGGACATCTTTACCTTTATATGGAAATAAAATAAAGTTAGAGCCAGTGTACCTGAGACAAAAGGATGTCCGAGCGCAGAAATGGGACGGCTCAATGGGCGTAGTTCTAAAGTAGCGAACCTGTGCTGGGTCTCCCCTACTTGAAAGGGCAGGCGAGTGTTCATATGACTGAAATGTACTTCACATTAAAAAAAATCCTCCCCGCACACGGAAAACAAACATCTCAGGGACAAGATTAGATTAGAATTGCCTGATGTAGTAATTTTCTGTCCATAATTTTTTTTTTAATGACGATTCACATTGGCCTACTTTCTTAAAAACGAAAGAGCAGCCAGTCATTGGGTTGCCAGGTCTGGGTTGGGAAATTTCTGGAAATTTGGGGTGGGTGGGGCTTGGGGAAGGTGGGGCTTGTGGAGGGGAGGGACCCCAACAGAATAAAATACCATGGAGTCCCTCCTCCAAAGCAGCCATTTTCCCTGGAGAAATTGATCTCTGTCATATGAAGATTACTTGTAATCTCCAGGAAATCTCCAGGCCCCACCTGGAAGTTGGCAGCCTAGCGTTGGCCTACCTGCAACCCCAATGTGACATAAACTCAGGTTTGCTACTTTAGCAACTGCGAGGCGTAAAGGCCAAACGACACTGGGAGGTCTAAGCACGTTCCGGGGGGGGGGGGGTTGTGGAAACCCTCCATGCTCCAGGGCTGGGCCCCTGAACAGACGCTCATCTTCTTGTGGTCTTCTCTCTCGATAGATGCAGACCGTCCACAACTTGCAAGCCGGGAGCTTTGCAGTACCTCAGGCGGACAAAGGCGTGGAGGATATGACCCAGCTGGAGTAAGTGGTCATTGTGGGAAGGGGGTACATTTGCACGAATATGGGGGATTTGCCGGCTACAGTGCGAATGTGGGCAGATTGTAGGGTTCCCAGTCCCCAGGTTCTAGCAAAGGTTCCCCCAGTTTTCGGGCCTTCAGTCCACCACTGGCCAGCAGGCCGGTGGGGAAAACGTCCCCAAACAGCCATGTCCCAGCACAACGTCCCTGAGATGATGACATCGCCAGGGCCGGCTCGAGGTGCTTCTGCGCCCTAGGCAGGCGCAGATGCCAACCTCCCAATGGGGCCTGGAGACCCTTTTGCTGCCGCCACCTCCTCCCCCCCAGGGGGGAGGGGGAGGGCGGGGGAGCTGCAGCGTGTGTGTGTGGGGGGGGTACGGGCGTGTGCAAGAGAGAGGCTTTCCTTTCCTGATTCCCCGAGTGCTGAGAGAGGAGGAGATGGAGGCAGGGCGAGCGGATGGCGGGCGGTGAGGTGTGCTGCTGCGTCATGGTGCGCATGTGCTAGGATTGCACAGCTCTGAAGTGCAGACCAACGGCCGCTCGTGCGCCACGTCCCCCACGCGCCGCTTGCGGGTTCCCCGGCAAAAGCTTCCCCGGCCTCCCTCTGCCGGGCGCTCCTGAGTTGCTAAGGGCAAACTGACCCCGGCCCTGCGCGGGAGAGGGGCGGGCGCCCGGTTAGGGCGGCAGTGGCGGTGGCGGGGGTTGGGGGCGGGGTGCAGTTTGGCGCCCCTGAGGGCCGGCCCGTCCTAGGCGAGCCCCTAGTTCGCCTAGCGGGTGAGCCGGCCCTGGACATCGCACAGAAGTGATGTCCTCACGTTGGAGACGTCGCACAGGACGCTCTGGTTCGAGGGGAAACCTCTGTGGTAAATATGGCCTCAAACCACAGAGGTTTGTCCTCAATCCAGAGCGCCGTCGTGCAATGCCGCTGACACGATGCCACTTCCAGGTGACGTGATTGCATAGGGGACGTCCCAGAACACCCCCCAAAACTAGGGTTGCCACCATTTGAGGGGAAAACATAGTTTTCCCCTCAAATGGCCGTGGCCCCGCCCCCAGCGTGCGACGTCACATCCGGGTGACGCGCACGCGCGCACACACCCCGGACGCCAGCCGGGAGCCCCCCGCTCCCGGCCGAAAACAATTTGGCAACCCTACCCAAAAACCCCTACCCGCGTGGCAACAGGTCCTGGCAATTTGATGACAGATGTTCCCAGACTCAGAGATACACTGGCCTATGAATGAATGTAATTGTTGCCGTTAACCTGTGTGTGGCCCCAAATGGGAGGTAATAGACATTGGTGTGTTCTAGGGTAGGGTGGGGTTTGGGGAGGAGAGGGAACTCAGCAGGGATCCGATGCTGCACAAAGCTTGTATTTTCTCCAGGGGAACTGATCCCTGTCATCTGGGGGGTCAGATGTAATTCCAGGATATCTCCAGGCCCCACCTGGAGGTTGGCAAGTCTAGTGCATTCACAAAAAAATCACCTGGGAATAGTGTTGCCAGAATAACTCAGGAACTCTGGGAGTGGCAGTGCCAAGGGGTGTTGGAGTTCGGGGTGAGGCGATGTCACTTCAAATTATGCTCTAGGACTGTCCCAACTCTCTATGGTAAAGACCATAAAGACTGGGAAAATTCCTAGAGCATTAGCTGGTAGTGACCTCACATCCTCCCCAAACTCTTCCCTCAAACTTCCTGGTGATGCTCTAGGAATTTCCCCAATCTCTATGGTTTTTACCACAGAGATGGAAGGAATTCTTAGAGTGTCTCCCAGAAGCAGCCATTACTTTCCTCCCGCTTAATTTCTCAGGGCTGGGGGATCTGGACAGAGCATGGCCTGTTGTGCGTGAGTAAATGGCAAATCTATCTAGGAATTTCAGCATTCACCAAATTTTGGCGCGTGCACTGGTCCCCAAAAGTTACAATCACAGGTACTGGGAGTGCGCAAACCAAGTGCAATGAGATTGCATGTTTCCCTTGATCCTCCCAACATGTGTGGTTATCGTGTTGTGTGAACGGAGGTAGTGCATGTATTTACCGTGCAAGTACAGCTTTGGTGCACATGAGCGTGACCCCTGAGAAATCCACTGGTACTTCGCAGGACAAAGATTTCTTAATTATTTCTTCATTTAATACTAGGAAGGTGCTGCTAATAAATACCCTTCCGTCTGTTTCAGGGAACTCCACCAGGGGATAGTCCTTCAAAACATCAGAAAGAGGTTCGAGCGGGGGCTGATTTACGTAAGCCAGTTGCTCATAATGTATCTTTCTGGCGATTTCCAACTTTTCTGCCACAAAAAGCAGTGTGGTATAGTGAATGCAGTGCCAGATGAACTAGAGAAACCGAGGTTCCAGTTCCTACAAAGTCGCCAAAATATCCGGAGAGCTTTGGAATAGACACTTTCCACCTCTCAGGGCTGTTGTGAGGATAGCGTAGAATAACTAAGGAGTCTTCTTCTTCTTCTTTTTTTGCTGTGCAATTCGTTTGCTCCTATCCCGAGGACAGTTTTATACTGTATCATTATAGACCACTCTGCTTTATACACTCTTAATGCCCTGCCTAGTTTTGTTTGATATATTTTTCAATTATTGCCTTGGATTGCAGTATGGATGCCTTAATAGTTAGGGCTTGCTTTTTTTGTACGCTAGGTTTTGTTTTATCATCGTGAGCTGCCTTGAATACATCCAGAGAGGTAGCTCGTAAGTTTTCCAGATTGGTTAATTAAATAAATACGGAGGTTTGAGGATCAGGCCAAGTCATCGAGCAAAGCGGGTATTTGGAAATCAAAGATGGAAAACTAAGGAGCTTCTGGTATGGCTCTGAAAGAAGCTGTCCAATTTTGCAGTCTCCTGTATGGGGATTACTCATGAGTAAGTGTCCCTGTGTCAAGCTAGTGAATGACCCTGCACTTGGGGTTTTCCTGTCTGGGCGACAGTATAGTGCAGCGTGTGTGTTTTCCCCGCGGGAATGTTCCCGCCAAGAACTATGTGTCCCCCGCCGATTCACGGTAGGTACTTTAACCCTATGTGGAAGCCATTTTGTGGCTGGCTCCGCCTCTGGTGGCAGCCTTTTTGTGGCTGGCTCCGCCTCTGGTGGCAGCCATTTTGCTGCTGCGCCCACCACACCGTGTCAGAATTCCAAAGGCGCCCACAGGCCGGGAAAAGGTTGGGGAACCCTGCCCTAGAGTGTGACCCCAATGCGATGACGTCACTTCTGATTTTGCACCGGAGGTGACATCACACATCGATGCGACGCCGATGAAATTGTCCCGGTCCCCCGAAATGTTCCCACCGAGTTGGCGGTTATGGCGGATGTATTCGAAGTTTCCTGTCCTCTGAAATTTCTTTCTCTCCCAGACTTATATAGGCAGCATCTTAGTGTCGGTGAACCCCTACAAAATGTACAACATCTACGGGACGGACCAGGTGCTGCTGTATGAGGGGAAAGCCCTGGGAGAGAATCCGCCGTAAGTCTCTGCTGCTACACTGATCTATTTAAGGGAAGCGCTATATGAAGGGTGGTAGATGGGGTTGCCAGCCTCCAGGTGGGGCCTGGAGATCTGCTATTACCACTGATCTTCAGCCGACAGAGATCAGTTCCTCTGGGGGAAATGGCTGCTTTGGAGGGTGGGTTCTGTGACGTGGTACCCTGCTGAGGTTCCCTCTCCAAACCCTGCCCTCTCCAAGCTCCGCTCCCTAAATCTCCAGGTATTTCCCCTCTCAGAGCTTGAGAGCCAGTTTGGTGTAGTGGTTAGGAGTGCGGACACTAATCAGGGAGAATCGGGTTTGATTCCCCACTTCTCCACATGCAGCTGCTGGTGTGACCTTGGGTCAGTCACAAGTTCTGTCAGAGCTGTTCTCTCAAGAGCAGTCCTTGAAAGAGCTCTCTCAGCCCCACCTACCTGACAGGGTGTCTGTTTTGGGGATGGGAAGGGAAAGGGATTCTAAGCCGCTCTGAGACTCCCTCGGATTGTGAAGGGCGGGGTGTAAATCCAATCTCCTCCTCCTCCTCCAATCCCAGTGGTAGATGTCCCTCAATTCCACAGGGCTGGGGCTCAGTTTCCGCTTTAAAAATGAGCAAGTTTCTATTGGGATATTTGGTTAATATAGCAGAGTTTTGCCCAGTCCTAGAAGCATGATCATGAGTGCAGTAAAGAAATATCCCAAAGAAGTCTATTGCAAAAAAGAAGGCAAACATACATTTATTCAAGTAGATCCAGTTCACCTTTAGGTTGCCGTCGAAAGGAGAGAACGGGGCCTAATTCAAAGAATACTTTCCCTGTCACAGACGGCCAGCGTCTCCGTGGAAAGCCATGTGAAGTGAGTGAGAGGACAAAGAAAGAGGAGGGGTCAGAGGGCAGCTCCCAGGTTAAGACAATTTAAGGATTTCAGACAGCCTATCTATTCCGTTTCAGGAACTGGTTACTAATGGGGTTTTCCTGTCAGTTCAGACAGACCCGTGTTAGTAACTGGCTATTAACGGAATATATTTACCTGTTCACGGGGGTCATTTCGTAGAAAAAGAGGTGAGCTCATTAGCATAACCCATTAGCATAACTTATTTGCATATGCCACACCCCCTGGCATCACCGGAAGTGTGTCAGAAGGCAACACACCGCCGCTCAGGCTCCACTGGACTGTTTTGGATTGCTAGCTAAATCAGTTTGAAGCTGGTTTTTGAAGCTCACTCTGGTTTGGGAACGTCCTGGAGACAGGGGTGGTGGTGGTTGGCAGGGCTCTTTTTGTAGAAAAAGCCCAGCAGGAACTCATTAGCATAATAGGCCACACCCAACACCAGAAACCCATTAGCATATTAGGCCACACCCCTGCCAGCACAGCTCATTAGCATATTAGGCCGCACCCCCATGTTACCAGAAGTGTGTTCATCCAGCCACACCCACCTTTGGCTTCTTATTCTGTTTACCTTGTTTGTTGTCAAAACACAGGGCTTTTTTTGGAGCAGGAACTCCTTTGCATGTTAGGCCACACACCCCTAATGTAGCCAGTCCGAATGAGTTACTGCTGTTGGGTGTGGCCTATTATGCTAATGAGTTCCTGCTGGGCGTGGCCAACTTGGGAGCCAGCCGGAACTCCGTTCCTCATTCCTGCCCAAAAATAGCCCTGGGTTGGAGACGGCAGAGCTTGTGGAGGGAGAGGGAATTCATTGGGGATGTGCTGTCCCTCTAGGACTCCTCCTAGACTTTATGGTATACCATAGAGTCCGCCCTCCAAAGCTGCCATTTCCTTTTGGGGAACTGATCTCCGCGGTCTGGAGATCAGTTCTAATCTTGGGGGAATTTCAGGCCCCACTCTGAGGTCAGCAACCTTAGCTTTAATCCTCTTTCTCTTCCCTTTGCAGCCACCTTTTTGCGATTGTGAACATTGCCGTCAGCAAGCTGAGAGATGCCAAAATCAATCAATGCATTATTATCAGGTGAGTGTTCGGAGACAGCCCTTACCCCCGACACATCTTTGTACTGATCGTCTCTTTCTTTGGAAAAGGTGTTCAGCTACTAATTAAACCCACACAGTTTTGTCCCCTTCGGTTTTGTTAGTGTCCACAGAACTGCAGTTTTCTGGCTCATCGCAAGGAATGCATATAACTAGGGCGATCTCTATTTCCCTGGGTACAGCCAGGGGCCATTTCGTAGAAAAAGAGGTGCAGGAGCTCATTAGCATAACTCATTAGCACAACTTATTTGCATAAGGCAAGGAGCGGTGGCGTAGATGGTAAAACGCCTGCTTTAACAACTACGAACAGCCATTGTGGCTGTTCGAGAACCACCGCGGCCGGGGTGAGCTCCCGGCCCTAGTCCCAGCTCCCGCCCACCCAGCGGCTCGAAAGCAATTAACAACTAAGCGAGTAGACAAATGGGTACCTACCCTTAGATGGGTAGGGGGCACCCTCCTCCAACGAGGTGTGTGGTGGCGGCACAGACGGCGACATAACATCGGCAGCAGCAGAGCATCGGTGGTGGTGAAGGTGGAATGGCGATGCAGCGGAGCGATCCCTGGTGGCCAGCAGAACATTGTGCGGCTGACGACGGCGGAGGCAGAGACCAGGAGGCGCGCGATGACGTGCAACGCGGGGCGCGGCGGAGCCTAACGGACAGAGCCGAGGTCGAAGTGGGCATGGGCCGTGCGCCCGAACGGTCCTGCCAACGAAAGTTGTCCTGAAATGCCAGAGATTGCCTGAAAAAAGAAGGCATGCTAGAAGCAACAACAGGCCCATCACCTGGGTGCCAGTAGGCAGCCCCGCCCCCATCTCATGTGGCCCTAGTTAGGGATTAAGTGTTCTTAGAACCCATTACATGTAAACCGCCCAGAGACCCTTCGGGGTTAGGGCGGTATAGCAAGTCAAAACTATAAATAGATAAATAAATATGCCACACCCCCTGACATCACCGGAAGTGTGTCAGAAGGCAACACCCACCGCTCAGGCTCCACTGGACTGTTTTGGATTGCTAGCTT